AAACCGTCAGTCTCGTGAAACATCTTTCCTGATGTCAACCAATAGTTCGACGCTATATTGTCAACAGGTTCTTGGCTGATCTTATTGAGATGTCGTCCATGCAGAGGTTTACTCATCCAGGTGCGCATTTTTTCTTGCTGAGTCAGGTGGTTTATGCGCATTTCTTGTTCCCTCAGTTTAAGCGGCGTTGTATCGTCTACTGCGCAAATTGCTCGATATAAAGTAGATGTCTCAGCCCGCACCTGAAAATTCTTAAATTAAAAAAGTTCTTAAATTAGCATTCTGTTTATCCAGTTGCTTACCTGTGCCCGTAAGTCCTCTTGCCCCTTGATATTTCGGCAATGTTCTCCCTACTGCACTGCGTGGATGGTGATTTTGCGCCTTTGTGAGAAGTGTTATTTTTTTAAACATTCATTATATTTTTATATAATGAAGTCCCAGATTTAGCCATACGGCTCACACTCCCTCTAAGGGGAAAATTCACTCATCCCAGATACCTACGGTATCAAAAGGATTGAGCTCTGGTGGGACTATTTCCGTGTTATCGAGCCCTAGGTGACTTGGTATGTTGGAGTATCTCCCAAGAATTTTCTTACACATCTGGACGTCGCGAGTACAGCTTTCTGCATGGCCTTATAAAGATTTTCATTTAGACCCAGCTGTTTTATGTTCGCTATGAGGTTTTTGGGAATAACACCAGTAGTAGATAAAACAATAGGTAGTGTCTGGGTACTTTCCATTCTCCATTGTCTCCTGATTTGTATTTCTGGATCTCTGTACTTGGCGATCTTTTCGTTGTATTTAACACCTAAATTATTGGTGTTGGGTATCGCCACATCAATAAGTGTTGTTTGTCTAGTAAGTTTATTAACTAGTATGAGATCCGGTCTATTATGGGCCACTGGTTGGTCTGTAAGCACAGTGCGGTCCCAGTATAGCTTGTAGTTGTCATTTTCAAGCATTCTGTCAGGGGCGTATTGATAATAAGGAAGATGGTCCGTTTGGAGAAGTCCCAGTTTGTCAGCTAGTTCTTGGTGGATAATCTTTCCTACTGAGTCATGGCGTTCTTTATAATCAGTACCGACAAATGCCTGGCAGCCACCGGTAAGATGTTGGATGGTTTCTTGGGCTTGGCATCCATATCGGCATTTGTCATTTTGGACTTGAGGATCTTTAACAATATATTTCAGGTAATTTTTAGTTGGAATAACCTGATCCTGAATGGCAAGTAGGAAACCCTCAGTCTCGGGAAACATCTTTCCTGATGTCAACCAATAGTTCGACGCTGTATTGTCGACATATTCTTGGTTGATCTCATTGAGATGTCGCCCGTGCAGAGGTTTACTCATCCAGGTGCGCATTTTTTCTTGCTGAGTCAGGTGGTTTATGCGCATTTCTTGTTCCCTCAGTTTAAGCGGCGTCGTATCATCTACTGCGCAAATTGCTCGATGTAAAGTAGATGTCTCAGCCTGTACCTGAAAATAAGATCTTAAATTAGCAATTTGTTTATCTAATTGCTCACCTATATCCATAAGTCCTCTTCCCCCTTGATACCGCGGTAATGTTGTTCTCTCTACTGCACTACGTGGATGATGTTTTTTGCGCCTTTGTGAGAAGTGTTCTTACTTTCCGCTGAAGACCCTCTATATCCGTTTTTGACCACTTTATAATACCAAATGAGTAGCTCAGCGCGGAACAGGCGTAAGTATTTAATGCCTTAAACAAATTTTTACTATTAAGATATGACCGATTTAGTTGTCTTACTCTTCGCACGAACTCCGAAGTTAGTTCTGTTTTCATTTGTTTATGGTCAATTTTCCGCGCTTGTTTTACTCCGAGATATTTGTACATATCATTTTCACCCATTGCCTCGATGTTTTGGCCATCTTGCATATCGAAACCTCCGGGCTGAACCTTTCCTCTGACTATATTTAGTATACGGCACTTGTCTAGTCCAAAATGCATACTGAGATAATGCATACATATCATTTGAGAAATTTTCTACAGTTTTTAGCATCTCATCTAAGTGGTTTCGAGTGGAAGCCATTAATTTTAAATCATCCATATACAACAGATGATTAAGCTTCGCTACAACGGTGTTGTTATTTTTGATGCTAAATCCTGAGTCAGTAGAGTTCAGCAGCTGAGATAGTGGGTTCATCGCTAGGCAGAACCAAAGTGGACTCAACGAGTCCCCTGGAAAAGGCCCCGGTTAATAGGGATATCTTCAGTTTCGATATTAATTTCACCAGGTATTTGAAGGTGAATTTTAGTCTTCCACTCTGCCATTATATGCTTCAAAAAGGTCACGAGATTATCATCGACTTTATATATTTTCAATATATCTATAAGCCATTCATGCGGCACTGAATCAAAAGCCTTCTTGGTCAATGAAGGCAGTAAAAAGGTTTCTTTTTTTGGTGTATGCCTGGTTAGAAATGACTGAGTCGATAATAAGTTGTTCTTTGCATCCCATGGAGCCCTTAGCGCATCCTTTCTGTTGGGGCTCTATGATATTGTTCAGAGCACAGTGTTGGTAGATACGCCGGGCCACACAGGATGTGACCAATTTGTACAAAGTTGGAAGACAAGTAATTGGGCGGTACTTGGCTGGATCTTGGGTGTTATTTTGATCCTTCGGTATTAGATAAGTGGTTCCCTGAGTAAGGAATGATGGTATTTCCTGTGAATTAGAAATAATATTATTAATAAATACTGTTAAAAGCTCATGTACACTCCAAAACTTCTTTAGCCAAAAGTTTTGAACTCCGTCCGGTCCAGGAGATTTCCAGTTATGAAGCTCTTTGATAATGTTCGAGACTTCTTCAGTGGTGAAAGGTACATAAGGAATATTCCTGTAGTGTTGACATTTGTTCGTGGTGTCTTCAATCCATCCAGCATTGTTGTTATGGGTAGCTGGCGTCGAAAGTTGGTTGCCCCAAAACTCATGAATTTCTTGTTGGCTTGGGTAGGATTTATTTGCGTTTTCTACAGTGGAATTAAGTTTCCTATAGAAAGTTTTCTCTGCTTGCTCAAAAAGTATATTGTCGCATTTCCGGTTGTTACTAACTTTGTATCTCCTCAGGCGGCCTGAGTAAACAGATAGTTTTTGTTTTAATGTGTCAGGCATTGTTGAGGTGTGTTGTTTTCTGGATCATATCGTGAGTGTCTTAGAGTGTTAAACAGTATTTCTTCAGCTCTTTTGATGATTTTTCTACTTCTTACTCCTCTTATGTACTCTGTTATTTGTCCAATATCCCTACGATCTCAATTCGATCTTCTTCAGCAGTCGTTTTTTTCCAGGGTGCTATTCTGTTACCAGTCCTTCCGATGTTGGTACCCCCCGTCGTGTTCTGATCTTAATGCCCATAACATTAGCAATTGCTGTTGCTGCACAGTAAATCAGCATATGCAAATATTCCAATGTGTGGGCTTCTGTGATATAATTGGGTAGGACTTCAGTATTCACAATTTGTAACAGCGCTCCTAGTTTCTTGGAAGAGTTTATTTTTGGTAGCGGTGGTCTGCTAAGTGGGTTTGTTCCACTAAACTCTTCTACGGCGCGCGCCATTTCGTTTGCCAGACTATCGTGCAACTCGTTATTGTCCTGCTGTGTATTATTAGGTTGAGTTTCTTGTATGAGAATCTCAGGAATCTGTTCATTAGGGATTTCATTAGGGACTTGGTCTGCAACTTGTTCTTGGTTATGAATCTCCCGCTCGATTTCGCGTCTGATGGTGTCGCGTCTAGTCTCTGGAATAAGATTGTTTCTTAAAATTACCCGGTATTGATCTGCTACTCTTTGTTCAGATACTTGGATTTCTGGGTACTCCCTGCAAAATTTCGGCATACAGTTGTTGTCGATAGCCGATTGTTTCTTGACCGAGGTTTGTCACCTTATAATAAAAGCGCAAAATATTTTCGTTTATGGACACTGTCCACTTCATACGCTGCCTCGGTCGTCCCGCTTGAGTGAGCGCCGGCTGATGTTCCAGCGCAGCACCTTCAGCGAGTGGAGCTCTTGTTGTTGTTTGGCTCACTTGTGGTTGTTGTTGTTGTTGTTGGGCTGTAGCTGATTGTATGACAGGGGCCCGCCTCCTCAACACCCTGCCACCGACGTCCCGCATGCTGTCACGTCCAGCGCCGGCTCCAGACGTGCCCTGGCGATCCCCAGGCAGCGACCCTAAACATAAATTAATAAACTCCATTATCATGGGTGTGCATTTTATACCTACTGCCAGGTGTCAGTTTTTGTTCCACGACAGGTATTCCTGTTACCCTCTGGGTATCTGCGCTACGGATACCCAGAAAGCATCCCCCATTCGCAGGGGCCGCGCCTGATAGAAGAACTGATAAAAACTCCCACAGGTATATATGTAATAATATGTATATATAATGAAGTTATTATTATTATTATTATTATTGTATAATAATACTTGTTTCTCTGTCCATAAGCAAGGGGAGAGAGACAAGTCCCTATTATGCCCAAAAACAAATAAATTTCATTAGTAACCTATAGTAAATTACAAAAACAATATTTTAACTATAATATAAAACGGTCAAGTCTGTTTTTGAATGAGTTGGTAGAGGGAGCAGAGACAATATTATCATTAAACTTATTCCAGCACTCAAAAACTCTATTTAGTAGAAAGTTCTGTCTTGATCTTGCAGAAAAGTTCTCTTTTTTAAGTTTAAACTGGTGACCTCTGTGGCGTTCATCTTGATTTATGGTAAACATCGAGATTTTCAAAATTGAATTTTAATATTTTAAATAATGTAATTAAGTCTGCACTTGTCCGCGAAGTTCAAAAGAAAAGATTCGGATAACGATCTTTCTCTTGACTGGTAGTCGGATTTTTCGATGGGTGATGGATATTATACATGCTATAACTCTTTGGGTAGACGAACCTGAAGAAATTTCAGAGATACCTTTATTTTTTTCTTTATAGGTCAGTATTGTTAACATTAATCGTTAACAGGAGCTCTATCTTTTGTTACAGAGTAAAGGATAGCACATCAGAAGCAGTAGATGAGGTAACATCTACGAACGCGAGACCAATTACAAAATCCTCCCATCAATCAGAACGTGTCAGTCGAAAATGGCACAATACTTCGGATTATTCTTCCGAAGGAGAAAACGAAGTATCTTCGACCAAATCTATATCACAGAATGAGAAGAATCAAATGATACAGGACGCTAGAGCTGCCGCCAACGGTGGTAGTGAAGTATCGGCGTTAGATCTCTACAAAAAATCCGGAAGATATTGGGAGTGAGTAATTTTTTTTATTAATGTTAAATAAAAATGAAAATATAAAGTTAGCAGTCATTAATTAAATCAAAAGAGCTTTCGATATTTTAGAATAAATATGTGTTTGTTATAAATAAGATTCATTCATTATAGATAAGATTAATTTTTTTTGTGTTTTTTTTTGAAAAAAATAAATAAAATATGTATTAAATACGAGGGTGGATTGATATAAAACTAGCCTTTGATAGAAAAAACAAGTTTTTTTGGAATTAAATCGATTTATTTCTCAACATAGTCCCCTTTTAGCTCGATATACTTAGTAAGACGATGTTCCAATTTTTTTTATCCCATCCGAATAGTACTTTTGCTCGAGCTCTTCAAAATAGGCCGCGTTTCAGCGACGATTTTATCATTTGTTGCGAAACGGCGTCCTCCGAGCTATTTTTTTAGGTTTGGAAACAGGAAAAAATCGCTGGCGGCAAGATCTGGGGAATACGGTGGGTGTTCAACCAATTCATAGCCGAATTCGTGTAATTTTGCCATGGCGACGGCCGATCGGTGAGTCTGTGCATTTTCTTGGTGAAAGAGCACTTTTTTGCGTTCCAAACCGGGGCGTTTTCGACGCAATTCGGCATCAAATCAGTCTCTGAAGTGGTCATACGTTTTTGCATTTGATCGATTGTGTCAGCAAACGCTGCACCCATCGCGCGGATAGCTTTTTCATCTCCAAATAATGCTAAATGATGTTGTGTACGCGTTTGTAGAAAATGTTTAGGACCTCTATTAACTCGCGGAGCTTAATTCGATGATCTGCCTTAATAATGTCATGGACTTTGTTGATCATTTCCCGGCGTGGTGACTTCATTTGGCCTCCCGGGCCGCTCATCATCAAAAACACTTGAACGACCACGAACAAATTAGCTTTCCAAAATTTTACGGTTGCTAACGAAGGTGCAACCTCACCATAAACTTCGTCCAGGTCGGCTTTGATTTGCACATTCGATTTACCCTTTTTGTGTTTTTTGTGAAGGAACTTATTCATCGAACGATACTCGATTTTTTTCATTTCTCCGAAAACACAAAATTTGCTAGCTTTTGACGGCTGTAGAAACCAAACTATTTGTTTTGAAAACTTGAACTTTTGACAGACGTCATGTCATGAATGGCAAATGTCAACACCGAAACCAATTCGGTATCAAGTAGCTATCAAAGGCTAGTTTAATATCAATCTATCTTTGTATTTAGGATTAGGAATCATAATTATTTTTTCATTTATCACTTCTTTTTTATGACTTATGTTTTCTGGACATATCTGTTTGTGGGCATATATTTAAATGTCGTGTCACATGTGGTGTTCGATTTAATTATTTTTTAGGTACCACAAATCATTTATATTGTTTACTACATTATTCTGAAAACTGTCTGTTTAAAAAAAAAACAGTAGTCAACTATTGCACTTCTACTTTCACTGCCAAGTTGTTCCATAAATTCGCAAAAATATATTGTTTTCTCATGATAGCAAAAATTCGATATAAAACCCAGTAAAACCAGTTATCAATTATTGAGACATGGTACTTACTTTCCCTGTCCGGGACACTAACAGCTTTAAATTTTGTATTTCCAATGGTTGGCCACATAGATGGCCCTGTCATTCGCTAAAAATAGGTCTTCTTATGTGCAGGTCTCTCTCATCTATGTGCATGATAGTAGATGGTGACTATTCTGAACCGCGCCACAGTCGCAGGTATCGTCCTCCTGGTATCCCCATTTCTTCAGGTTACTAGCACAACGTGAAACGTCAGTTCTTAGTCTGTTTAGCATTTCCATTTGAGATACGGTAAATTGTGTCCAGCGGCCATTTTCTCTGAGAGGACAAAATATGTTGTAGCTGACGCTTGCCATAGGCGTATTTGGCGCGTCTTTGGCTCTTCGGGAAGGGATCGTGATTTTTTTCAGAAAGCTTTTCCGAGATCTTAGTCTATTTGGCTGAACTTGGTGGTCATTCAAGATGTGTCTTCGATAAATGTAATTATCATATTCATAAGATAATTACATTTATCGAGACATGGTAAAACAGTGTAAACAAATTGAGCGTCGATAAAATTACATTACATTATACTTATTATTAATATAAACTTCTTCTTCTTCTTTTTGTAAGCAATTCGACTTGTTCATTGGGGGATTCACATGCCCCATTCTGCTTATGTGGTTATTCCATTCTTTTCTGTGAATTGTCCATTCGTTTATACACAGTACGTTACATTTTCTTTTAATGTCTTTATTCCTCTTTCGATCTCTCGCGTATTTCCAGTAATTTTTCTCAGTACTCTCATCTCTGCCGTTTTCAGTAGCCTTTATGTTGTGACTGTGTTGGGTCTTTTTCGGATGCATATCTTACCATATTTGACCATTACTGACCTTACACTAGCTTTGTAAATTATTGACTTCATCTCATTGTTCATATGTCGGTTTTTCCATATGGTGTTATTAAGGCATCCTGCTAGTCTATTTTCTTTTTGTACTTGATGTCTCACTTCTTTGTACAGGTCTCCATTGCTGGACAACGTAATTCCAATTTATTTTCTTTCCACTACTTGTTCAATACTGACGCGATCGATTTCTATTTTACATCTGATTGGTTTTTTGGTGATTACTAGGATTACAAATATATAATTCCCCACTATTCTAAAATCACCCAATAAATAATGCAAGAATCCTCTGACACATATACACTACATGAAGGATTATATGTTTTTTTGTAACTATCTGATGATGAACCCCACAAAGATGGTCATTTTTCAATCTCGTCGAAAAGTAGTTCACCATCGAGGTGCTCCTGGCAACAACACAAGTCTTCACACATCGATAAACGTCTGCAGGCTCTTAAAATAAGTTCCTATTGAAGCATCAGCGACATTAAACGTGTTGCATAAAAGCACCAATTTAATTAAACATACTTATAAAACGCTACGTTCTTTGTCGCCACGCGAGAGGCCACGAAAAACTCGTGCATAAAAGCGGCCTTAATGTCAACCAAGCGGCCAATTTTTTCAAATAAAATTTGTATAAACTCGACGATATTTTTTGATCAGAGTGTCGTATGGACAAGAATTAAAATGCGTTTTAAAGGTGACGAGTACAGCTTTTGTATGTAATTTTTGCATTTTACCTCAAATGAAGTCAGTTTCTATAAAGTTGTTAAATAAATAACGATAATATTTTTTACGATTCTCATGAGATCAATAAAATTTTGTACTTTCATTGACCGGTCACTATGGAATTTCCATTGTTAGAGCTTAAGCTTCAAAACTTCGAAGCATGAAATTTCGATTTTGAGTTTGGCAACAAATATGAGGCATTTCAAATATGCTTAAGAACATTTAATTTAAACTTTTACATAACAAACGATCTAAAACGTTTAAAACTACCTATTTTTGATTGCAGAAGTACGTTTTACGAAACTACAAAAATTCCACCCAACGCCGTCCTCGTGGAAACATTTTCCGTGACGTGAGATCGTTTGTAATATGAAAATTTGAATTAAGCGTTCTTTAAGCGTATTTCAAATACCTCATATTTGTTGTTAAAACTCAAAATCGAAATTTTATGTTAAGTTTTGAAGATTAGTCTCTAAAATTGAAAATTCCATACCGACCGGTCGATGGAAGTGATCAATTTTATTGATATCATGAAAATCGTAAAAAACGGCAAGATTCGCGCAACGATTATTTATTTAACGGCTTTATAGGAAATGACTCCATTTGCGGCAATATGCAATTGTATAAGAAAGCTGCACTCTTCATTTTTAAAACGCATTTTCATTTTTGTCGATAGGACACTCTGAACAAACGATATCGAATTTTTACCGTTGAGTTTATACAGTGATTTGAAAACATTGATTTCGCGAGCGTAACTGACATTCAAAATCGCCGGTCGCTTCAAGCGTTGCTTATGAGAGAACGGTTTATTCTACACAAAAAGGGCTAATAAACAGTTTTATTCAAAATTATCTCATCTGCATTTCTTAATTTAAACTTTTTTTTCTACGGCGTACAGGTCTTGATAAATCTATGTTTTCCGTTTCCGTGCGTTTAGGAGAAAGCCAGAGGTCAACTTCTTTGCATCTTTTTTGGGACCCTACAATTGACATTCTCGGTAAAATTCTGCTTGTTCGTCTCGTTTGCAGAGATCAAATCCCTGACGACTGAATTAATTCTGTATCATCTTTGTTTGTTACTTTGATCCATAGTGAAATTGAACAGCATATGGCTCAATTAGTCCGCCTGTTTCATTGCGCTGCCTATGTCTGTAGGTTCTACAAGTTTTCAGTCTATTCTGACTTCCATTTTGTTGTTCCAGTTTCTTTTGCTGTTTCTGAATTAGTATAACCTAGTAGTCAAACAGTGAAGTGCAGTGAAAGTCAGTGTTAAAAGTTAAACGTTTTATTTTTAATAGTAAACAAAAGGTATATTTTAAAGGTAGTTAAATATATTCTTCCGTTTCTACTCTTACTGATATGATAATGTCGAATAATTAATTATAATAATATGACCATATCAGTTATAAAGGAAATAAGGAAATCTGTTCCGATTATGTACGCAATAGACTGTATTTTATTATAGTTTAAATAAAATGAAATCTTTAATACTGACAAATTGGCCAAATAAACTATATATGTGCTTTCCACCTGACCATTCCTTCCAACGTGGACAACATATGCCGCTAAGAGCCAATGCTCATGACGCAATTGTTTTAAAACAACAGTTGAAAACTAGTCTGATCTGCAATGGGTTTATAACCAGTTTACAACGTAAATGAAACGTGTATCCGCCCACGGAGCGAATGGTTCTGAATCATTTGTGTTTCTTTATTCGAGTGGTGCCGTGGTTTTACTATTTTGATTTCCGACGAGGAGGACATGATTGATTACTAACACTTACTCGCAGTTAAATACCGCAGGGTTCGTAGAGTTGACACGTAGGATTTTGTGCATCCCTACTTTGAAAAGAATTCAAAATCAC